GCCCGAAACGTCAGCCTTCCTGCTCCTCTGATGCTGCTTGGCCTGCTGTGTTCATCCAGCTCTACACCTTGTTTTCTCAGCTTTCAAGAGATTTTGCATGCAGATGCATGGTAAATGTATAGCAGTCATAGACAATCCACACACAGTTCTAGTTGATGCACACTACAGGATGATCTGACAGAGAAGTCAATGATGTTCTGAACTAATAGAAATCAATGCACTGCAGCAGAGGCAGGACCTCTCTTTATCTGACTGGCATCATCAATGTACATATTGGGCAGCCTTGACAAGTATGGCATTAGTGAATTGAAAGATGGACCTGTTGACTTGCTGAGTGTGAGATCTGGAGATATCCCCAAATGATGCTTGAAAGGAGTCATAGATGAAGAAATTCAGGCCACTGGTCATCTTGATAGCACTGGCCACTCGACCCTCTTGGAAGGGAATCTTATTACAACAGGCTGTAAAAATAAGTAAGAAGCTGCTGCTACAGCCAAAGACTCCTGAGGGAAACACCATTATTCAGTCACATTGAAAAAGCCTATCCTTTTCCCATAGCCTTCTTGGAGCTGCAGTTCAGTGTCCTTCCCCTCTACCATGTGACTACCAAGACAGCAGCAGTTGTCCCTACGTTTGGGGAGAAAGGTCCAGGTTCAAGTCCCACCCGCACCAGACAAGTTTCCTAACATGCCTGAACAGGCTGGCTAAAAATATCACAAGACTAGTCTGTGCAACCTGCTCTAATAATTTAGCCTATGGCTATACTAGTCAGACAATGCCTGATCCTTTTTAGTATCAGAAGCTAAGCAGACTCAGGCCTAGTTGATCATAGAATGTAGAGCCTCTACAGTATGGGAGCAGGCCATAGGGTCCTCACTGACCCTTGGAAGGGCATCCCACCCTAACCCTATACAACTCTAGATACCACAGGTCAATTTAGCATGGCTAATCCACCTAACCTGCACATCTTTGGACTATGGGAGGAAACCAGGGCACTCAGAGGAAAACCAGACAGATGTGGGGAGAATGTGTAAACTCCACACAGACAGTTACCCAAGAGTGGAATTGAACCCAGGTCCCTGGCACTGTGAGGCAGCAGGGCTAACCACTGAGCCACCATGCTGCCCCAATACATAGGTCTCTTGGAACACCAGACTTTGGGGTTTGTGGGGTGCTGTGATTCATCTGGTTTCAAGTCCCAATTGTCCTGAATATGAAATTCATATAAATATATAAGATCACAATATATAAATAAAAAACAAAATAACTAGAAAGTTAAATTGATAGTTAATTGCTACTTAAAATATTTACATATCTGACCTGACACCTTGAACAGGGTTAACGCTCTGAGGAAGGACCCCAAACTTTAACTCTGATTTTTTCCTTCACAGATGCTGCCAGACCTGCTGAGCTTTTCCAGCAACTTCTGTTTTTGTTCCTGATTTACAGCATCCGCAGTTCTTTCGGTGTTTACCTTGAACAGGGCTTCCCACTTGCTTCTGAATGCCCCCATGTTAAGTGCAAAGGAAAGCCGGTTGCAAACAATGCTGCCGTTTTCACTGCTTTAACGTCCCCCACTGCAGCTGGCTTGGACCCAAACTTACCAACTTTATTTCCATCCAATATTCCAGCACATGCCTAACCAGTGATTTGATTATTTGGCCACTTTGTTTTTATAATATGTAAAACATTATGCAGTGGCTGCTGGTCTATTCCTGTTCCTATTTTCTATGTCTACATTTCTATGGTAGGGCTGAATCCAATTCGACCTTCAGTGGTAATGTTTTGCTCATGAGGAATCACAACCTGGTGTATTTGGAAATAAAACTGGGTATGCTATTAAGCATGAAACTTAAGGACAAAGCTCTCCATTCAAGTCAATGCAAAGTCTATAGACAAACGTAAAAAAAAAGCCATCAATGCAGAATCTCAAAACTATCAGTTTGAGTAAATTACATGCTTTACCTGATAAGATTAATTTTCCCAATCAGTGCCGCCTGTTCCTGGAGAACCATGCAAAGGGCATCAAGGGAAAGCTGAAACAGACTCTGAGGCATGGGGGCAAAGTCTAATACGATGACTATACAACGTTCCTGTATTACACCAAAAAGCTGTTTGCTCCCACTGGTCAGCCACTCTAATCGTCGTTGGAAGAACCGAATTGCCTGAGTGAGAGCGACAGCGAACTGCTGAAGCTGTTCTTTGCTTGCTGTTAGCTGCAAAAGTGAAGACAAGCACATAGCAATATATCTAGCAATATTTGAATTTAAGCCATTTAACTCCTCTACAAAAATTTGCATTAAACCAGAGAAATGCAACATATGTTAAAATTGTTCAAATCAAAATTGCGTGAGCCTCGCATCTTAGGACGGTACGAATGTGTGTACCAATGGTCCCCGGTTTATATCTAGTACTGACATTTTCAGTATTTACTGCATAACATCAGTTTAATCACTTCTTCCAAAAGTGCATTTCAAAGAAGTTTATAAGGATTTATTTGGAGAAGCGGGGTAGAGGAGAAAGAGTAATTCATTTCATTTTTCTGCCAAGACGAAGATTCCAATTTTTAACTCCAACATCTATGCAATACTCCAATTTACAGCGCTGCAGTACAAATTCCAACCAAGCTGATAAATATTGTCTTTGGTTCACAGCCCTGGTTTAATGAAAGATGTGCTACAGCATCAGCCAAAAAAATAGGAACACGTTGACACATAGGATGATGACGCAGCTTTAAAGTATAGGAACGCTTACTTTCCATACTCAGTCGCAATAAAACAGGCTCCAAAACTATGCCAAGGTATAACCCCTAGCTCAGATCCCAACGGCAGTATTCTTGGGCTCAAAGGTAGAAGGTTACATCTGTTTCCAGCATTGGACCAGGTCCATGACCTCTCCTTTCAAGCAGAGTTAGTTACAACTCTGAAGATAAGACAAACTTGTCACCTACTATTATGTGACAGAATCATTTCTCAACTTATGCTCCTGACATGATTTTCAGCCTGATTCAAGGAACTGGATTGTTTTGATCAGAGCCTGCAGTAGACAATGAACATCAGAAATAAATTACCTAATTCCAGCTTTAATTGCCTAACACCAGGGTGCCACTGCGGCTCAGTGGTTGACACTGCTGCCTCTCAGGACCAGGGACCTGGGTTTGATTCCATATTTGGGTGACTGTCTGTGTGGAGTTTGCACATTCTCCCCATGTCTGCGTGGGTTTCCTCCCACAGTCCAAACATATGCAGGTTAGGTGGGTTGGCCTAAATTGCCCATAGTATCCAGGGAATGTGCAGGCTAGGTGGATTAGCCATGGGAAATGCAGGTTACAGGGATGGAGTGGATCTGGGTAGGAGGCTCTTCACAGGCTCAGTGTAGACACAATGGGCCAAATAGTCTGCTTCCACAGTGTAAGGATTCTACAATTAGAATGAACTAGGAGGTCACAGACATCCTGTCTAAATTTAGGCTATTTATGTTATGCATGGAGCTATGCTTTTTAGACTTATTTTAGGGTTAGGTTGTAGAAGTAAGTAAGCAAGCAGTGAAAATAAAGACAGCCATTGGTACTGCAGGGTTGTACAGAATAAACACTTAAGGCCAGCCTGAAGAGGACCAGAAAGATCCTACTTGGCTATGGGAAATGCTTGAAAATCAGCTTTGTGTAAAAAGTAGGCTTGAGAATTCACCATCTAGAGCTGAGTTGATCAATGGCCTTCATGATTTCAACTAGATAAACCAAATAGTTCCAATCTCATCTGGTCTATGCCCTGCAGTAAGACACCAAATCTTCCACATCAAAAGTAGAGGTACTGTTCAAGTCAATGGTCCACATTTCTGCCAGCAGCACTACATTCTTTACTAAGACAACTGCTCCTGACCAGATTTTACACGTCCACACAAATTGTAACACCAGCCAGGTTTTCCACACAACCTCTGCCTATGCCAGTAGCATGCTCCAGCAGCAATTTAGTAAGGGTGTCAAAACTGTGCCAGATAGAAGAAATCATTTCAACTTGGAATGTAAATTAAAACTATGTCGCTTCAACTATGGCCACATCAAGTATGAAAGGGAACACATTTATGGATGCTACGAGGAATTTTTAGTACAGAATGTCCTATACCGTTAAACTGCTGCAGGATAGGTAATAGTTTAAAATCAAAATAGCGGCAAAGCTAGAAATCTGAAATAAAAGCAGCAGATGCTAGAAATACTCAGCAGTTTGGGGAGCATCTGTAAAGGAAAAATCAGAGGCTAGAAGTTTGTTACCATGACAAAGGGATCCTGAAGACAGGCACAACAGTAGAATTGGGATGTGGGGGCTAGGGACTGTGCGCAGGTGACCTCCACTCAGCAGTCCAGGAGATTCAGCAGGCAAATAATTGTTTCCCACAAGGCAACCATCCCTATACAGAATGGCAGCCCACCCGCAGGGGCTGCCAGTCAATCTGAGGATTAGCAGCACCACTCCGAACAGTGGCCACTGATGGGACTGCAACTTAGAGAAGAAGATAGTTTGAAAGGAATGATATGCTCCCAACCTGCTAAGTGCGATCCAGGCTGCTAGGACCAGTCAGACAGATGTTGGGATTAGAATTCCGGGCGTGTTGACGGGTGTTCATGTCAGCAGGCTGGCCTTTGCCGCAGTACAATCATTGCCACCAGTGATCCCTCCATGGCCTCAGAGTGCCCAAGTACTATAGCCTGAGAAGCTGCCTGAGTTTACCTGGCAGATTCACCACAGGGTGGAGGGAGCAACCACTGATGGTAAAACGGCAGTGATGGTAGAAAGAGACTGGTAATTGGTCATTTAATTGGCTCAATTGACCTCCAGGCAGGAGATCTGTCTGCCACCAACCCAGCAGCTAGCAGGATGGCATGGTAGTGGGAAGGCAATGGACTTACTATCCTGTCCTACATACCTTCACCACTACACAGCTCTCCCACTTCCCGTTACTAGATTGCCAATAAAATTCCACCAAGAGTTAATACTTCTGGTCAATTATTTTTGAAATCCAAAATGTTAGAGACATAGCAGAGCACCATTCATGAATGGGGTTTCCATTTGTCTTAAAAGCTGTTAGAAATGTAACTTCTTCCAATTCGACCTGAGATATTATTTCTTAAATTATGAGGGGCATAGATAAGGTGAATAGCAAAGATCTTTTCCCTAGGGTAGGGGATTCAAAACTAAAGGGCATATTTTAAGGTGAAAGGACAAAAATTTAAAAGAGACCCGAGGGGCATCTTTTTCACACAGAGAGTGGATTGTATGTGAAATGAACTGCCAGAGGAAGTAGTAGATGCAGGTACAATTACAACATTCAAAAGACATTTGGACAGGCACATGAATAGGAAATGTTTAAAGGGATATGGGCCAAATGCAAGCAAATGATTCTAGTTTAGTTTAGGAAACATGGTTGGCATGAACGAGTTGGACTGAAGGGCCTGTTTCCAAGTTGTATGGCTCTATGACTGTATGACTCTAGATATGGTTCTCTCCCCATAGATGCTAACTGACCTGCTGAGTATTTATAGCACATGATTATTACTTTTGATTGATAACAATACATGCATATAAAGGAGAAAAGTAAAAGCACAGATAATTAAAGAAAATGGCTCGGCTTCCCGCATTTTCTTTCGGGTATTCACACACATTGTAAATCCTGCCATCCTTTCCCACATATTGCTGGAACAAGCCTTCACCATAACATGATGATACTGGCTTCCGCAATCCATAATCAAATTCTGCAAGACAAAATCAACATGGATTACTGAGATAAAATAATTTGAATGCTGTTAGAAATATTAGTAAAAGAGGCAGTATCGCTTCTCCAGCATCAAAATAAATACCACGCACATAAATACTTCAGAGATTTTGCCAGAGTCAAAGGTTGATGGATCTCTACAAAACTGCAGCAAATTTTGAGGTGGACACTGTCAGAATAATGTAATAATTTTTTTTGATGTATAAGCAAATTTTTCTCAAGCTAAGACATTTCAAAGTTACCACATTGAACAAATATACACAGAACATTAAATAATATTTTACAGTAATTATATGTCCATCTTTATGAAGAATACACATTTTTTGAAGTAGAAGATATGCCATGGCATCATAGAACATGATATTTATTGCTGCAAGCTCAGGTAGCTTAGAACCAAAAGATATTTTTAGTATTTTTAGTAATTTTATTTGTTTAGTGATTCAGCACCAATTTGTTATTATGGCATGTTAATGTTACAGCAATATGGACCTAGATGTTGCATTTCGTAGTGAAGGAACAACACTCACTGGTAACTTTGGAAAAACTCCTCCAGTGAATCAAATTAGTCTACTCTGACACAACTTGGAAGTTGGCAACAGCAAAGTCATCAAACAGGATGAACAGCCAATCAGAATGAAAAATTCTCATAGACAACAAAGCAAGAAGTTGAAAAGAACAAATTATAATTCGCATGTGAAGCATTATATAGAAAAAGAAACAAAGATCACTACAGAAACATGGGCTTAAGAATATAGGGAAGATATCAAGCTATTTTTAAAAAAATCATTCCTATTATTTTAAAAATAATCAAACTTTTAGATGTTCTTCTGAGGGAATGAGATTCCAAGCATAGAAAATTTGTTTCACAGGACTAAAAACACCATTCATCTGTGAATATGACTGTTAACAATTCAGTTGCACCTCATATAAAAGGGGTTAACATCTTCAATGGCTTTTACACAAAAATAATGAAAACACGTGGAAGTTCACATCAATTCATTGATTCTGCATCAATTGCATCTACAAAGAACACGGTAGGGAGAGGTCAGCAACAGACCCACAATTTAGAGTCATGGAGTCATAGAGCTTGACAGCATGGAAACAGACTCTTCACTCTAACTCGTCTATGCCAACCAGATATCTTAAATTAATCTAGTCCTATTTGCCAGCATTTGGCCCATATCCCTCTAAACCCTTCATATTCACATACCCATCCAGATGCCTTTTAAATGTTGTAATTATACCAGCCTCCAACACTTCTTCTGGTAGCACCACTCTCTGCGTGAAAAAGTTGCCCCTTAGGTCCCTTTTAATCTTTCCCCTCTCACCTTAAACCTATGCCCTCTAGTTTTGGACTCCGCTGCCCTAGGGAAAAGACTTTGGCTATTCACCCTATCTATTCCCCTCATGATTTTATAAACTTCTATAAGGTCACCCCTCAGCCTCCGACAATCCGACAAAATAGCCCCAACCTATTCAGCATCTCCCTATGGCTCAAACCCTCCAACCCTGGCAACATCCTTGTACATCTTTTCTGAACCCTTTAAGTTTCACAACATCTTTCCTACAGCAGGGAGACCAGAACTGAATGCAGTATTCCAAAACTGGCCTAACCAATGTCCTGTACAGCTGCAACATGACCTCCCAACTCCTACACTCAATGCACTGACCAATAATGGCAAGCATACCAAACACCTTCTTCACTACCCTGTCTACCTGTGGCTCCGTTTTCAAGGAACTATGAACCTGCACTCCAAGGTTTCTTTGTTCAGCAATACACCCCAGGCATTAATTGTACAAGTCCTGCCCTGATTTGCCTTTCCAAAATGCAGCACCTCACATTTATCTAGATTAAACACCATCTGTCACTCCTCGGCTCATCGGCCCATCTGATCAAGGTCTCTTGTACTCTGAGGTAAACTTCTTGGTTGTTCCCTAAGCCACCAATTTTGGTGTCATATGCAGACTTACTAACTATATCTCCTATGCGTACATCCAATTTAAATGTAACATCTAAATAAGGTCATGGATTTCTGCTTTGTTTCTTCATGTGACTGCCAGTCCAATTCTTGAACCACAAATCTTTGTGGACATGGGTGCAGGATGTCTCACAGGGAAGCAGGAACCAGACTGAAGGATTTCCTTCCCTTTTTGGCCTTTTCTCCTGCTGCTCTGCCTCATCATTAAGGCATATTGATTCAGAGATATTGCCTCTTAATGGAAACTTTTTGCTATTCTGAATAAACATCCTCCAGTCATTAACGTATATACTGTCACAATTCACACACAGCATTAGATTGTCTCTGAGAGATTTATTTTCTGTTCTCTGGAATGGTGGCCAATTCACAGTTAAGAAAAGAGAATCTGGTGAGGAAGACAATTTTCAACCATAGTCTCCAGTCCATGATAGCTGATTCTGTGGGAGTTTTGCCTAAATGTTTGTGGACCTGGTTTCAAGAAGGATGCTAGCTTTTTGAGAGGTGAATGCCTCTCTGAAGGGGGTGCTCACCACATTCCAGACTCTCTCCTTCAACATTTGTGTGTGTTTTAGGTGGAGGGGGGTGAAATGTGGAGTGGAATATTTGACTGATAGTTTGTGTGAGATGATATAGCAGTTTTGTTTTGGCAACATTTAAGAATAGGCAATGCTGCTTCTCTGTAGAATTGAAGAGATCAAGGGTGACAATAAATCTGGTGCAGAGTGGAGAGTGATACTGCAGTTATCTGCAGACTGTATATCATGTAAGGCTGTGACACTCAGCTTAGTTTTGGCATGGAGGCAATTAAGATTAAAGAGATTTCCATCTCGATAATGTCTATTGCTGACACAACAAGAGTGTGATGAGATGAAAAGCCACTGGCACATACATTGTAAATAGTACGGGAGGTGATTGTACAGTTTTGCTTGACCCTGATCCAGACTTTGAAGGTGTCTGCTTCTGATCTCCCATTCAAGACATTGCAGTCATATCATCATAAAACAATTGCAAGACTTCAAAAGAATTATTTCATAGGATTCGGGCATCACTGGTTAAGTCAGTATTTATTACCCATCTGTAATTGCCCTTAAGAAGGTGATGGTGAGCTACCTTCTTGAAATGTTGCAGACCTTGGTATATAGGGTCAACCATAGCGTTATTAAGGTGAGAGTTCCAGGATTTTGACCCAGTGATGGTGAAAGAATGGCAACACTGGTTTCAGCTTGTTACAACTTGTATCAATGATTGACATGGGGGAGTGAAGGCATGATAGCTAAAATCGTAGTTGTGCAGACGACACAAAGGAAATGCAGACGAATAAAGAGGCTGAGTGAATGGGCAAAAATCAGGCCAATGAAAAATAACATGGGAAAATGTCAAGTTGTTTACTTAGGTGGGGAAAGAAAAAATGCAGGGTATTGCTTAAATAGAGAACATCTGCAGAATTATGAGATGCAGGGGAATCTAGATGTTCCAGTGAATGAGTCACAAAGTATGCAGGCACAGCAAGTAATTAAGAAGGTGTATGCTATCCTTCATTATATGAGGAACTGAACATAAAAATAAAAGTGTTATGCTTCAGTTATACAGGTATTGGTGAGAACACATCTTGAATCCTGAGTACAATATTGATCTTATTTAAGGAATGGTGTAAATGCATCGGAGGCAGTTCAGGGAAGGTTTACTAGATTGATACTTAGGGTGAGTGGATTGTCTTATGAAGATAAGTTGGATAGATTGGGTTGTTTCCATTTGAGTTTAGAAGAGTGAGGGGTGACCTGATTGAAATGATAAGATCCGGAATGATCTTGACAAGGTGGATGTGGACAGGATGTTTCCTCTTGTGGATTAGTGCAGAACAATGGGGCATTATTTTAAAATTAGGGAGTGTCATTTTGGGACGGTGATGAGGAAAATTCTTTTCTCTTAGATGCCCCAGAAACTCTTCTAACCAAATGCCCTTGATGTCAGAGGGTTTGGTGAGCAGAAGATGTACCTTTTCTTAATCTTCCTGTGAAATTTTAGGATGTAGTTAAACTTGATAGAAACCCAAAAGAACTGTGTTGTATCATAAATACCCAACTGCAAGCTACATACATGTCCCATCTCTTTAGCCCCAGGAAAAGTATGTACTCTATTTTCTTTCTAAGTAGGAAAGAGAAAGAGTATATTGAAAAGTGATAGAAATATTTTTAATGCAAACATCATGACATCAGCTAATTCTACACATCAATAATTCCATTCATAGGCTGCACACATCCACACCCTTTATTCTTTAACAATGACATGACAGGTAACTGACCGAATAATTGGTGTACAAAAATGCGCTACTGTCATTCTATGTGTAATTCAATAAATGTTACCTTCTCTGTGTTTAAATCCAATCTGTGACAAGATCTGAGACAGGGTCAACCTGTTTCTCTTGAGCCCATGTAGCTGAAGCCATTTTGATGATGAAAGGAGAGTCTGTACATTAAGTTCAAAAGGTGAATTCTTCTCCTGTGTTTTCGCCATTTTTCATTGCTTATGTTTGTCCTTATTAAAATTTATGCAAATTAATCTCTGTGGGATGGGCTCTGTTTCAAATCAAACTTCTGCCAATAGAACATACTTCAATTAATGATTTATAAACATGGCAGCTACATAAAAATTCCAACCTTTAGAAGCCTGTGGTACATTTTTCATGCAGATGTGTCTTGATTAAAATATGGTGCTCTACTGCCAATTATATTGCAGGCGCTAAGAAATGTTCTTAGTCCTGTGAATTCTTCCGTTTTATAAAACTCACCCTTCCTGTTGCAGGTGTGCAAATTGATTGCAAAAATTTTTACTTTTTTTTGTCCCAAATCTATGACTGAAATGATTACACTTAATAGTTTTGGAAGTTAAGGTGCAGGATAAAATTTAACCTCAAATCAATCATTTTTAAAAATTATCCATTCATCTGATATGAGTGCCACTGGAAAGAGCAGCATTTATTATCCATCCTTAGTTGTTCTTCAAAAGGAGTTGAGTTCCTTGCTTGAACCACTGCAGTCATGTGGTAATGGTATTTCTACAAGCTGTTAAGTGGGGAGCTCCAGGATTACAAACGAACAACAATGAAGGAATATAGCAACTTGTAATAATCATACAAATAATGAAACGTTCTGCATTTTGAAACAGCTAAGTTTGTATTTGATCCATGACACTGCGATTAGAATCTGTAGTGCTAGAGTAATTATAATAGTAAAATCAAAGCAAATCATTTGCATTTTAATTCCAAAATGAAGCTTAACCAAATTTATGCTTTTAGGCGTCAAGCTTCACAATTTATACTGCTTCACTTTATAAACTGAAGTACTGCATTTTCAGCTTCAGGAGATATAAATATTCCAAGCATATTGAGGAGGTCTTGTCAGTCAGATTTGTGTGGGTATTTTTAACCATTTGTGTATCATTATATCTGAGATTCTAAACTGAAATTTTGATTTTTAAGTCAACAGTGCAAGTTTTCGATGAGGAGAGAAGACAGCCCACAGCAGATCAGATTACATATGACCACATTGCCACTTCAAAAAGCAAGGGAAGGAGCAGCATGGGAGCGCCATTACCTGCAAGGTTCCCTCCAAGCCACACACCATCCTGATTTTGGAACTATTTCACAGTAACTTCACTTTACCTGGTTCAAAATGCTGGAACTCCCTTTCTAATAGCACTGTGAGTATATCTATACCATAAAGACTGCAATAAAATAGCTCACTATTTCAAGAGCAATTAGAGATGAGTAATACTCGTTTGGCCTTAACAACAACATCATATCCCGTGAAAGAAGAAAAAAAATTAAACCCCAAGCCTGACTTCCGTGATTCAGGATAAATTCTCACCCAACGCTGACAGCAACTTTCAGTAAACAGGCTGAGAAAGATGGGACTCACCAGGCAGCAGGCCACCCTCTAGGGTCGAGAAGAATGAACCCAGAGTTCAGGAAAAGGATAGTATCTCAAGGCCTGGAGGTTTATACAGTCAGAAGAAGAGAAAGTTCAAATGTTTCTTGTGATTCATGAAATGTATTGCCATTCCATCTAGCTCAGCGGAAAACTCTTAAAAATTTTGAAACGTAGACTCTGGACCGAGTAATTTTTTGGAATATGGTTGTCGATTATGTCGTGGAGTTTCTTAACTATCTCCTCTCGCCTCTCCCTTCTTGAACCACCCCCCCCCCCCCCCCCCCCCCCAACACACACATTCAAGTGATGGAGATACTCCCACACTGCAAGTTCCAGGATCTTAACCTAGTGGGAATGAAGGAAGGAATCTCCTCCACCTCCTAATGGTGTGTAACTTGAAAAGTAGACTGCAGGCAACGGTGTTTCTTACCTTTCTAAGTCAGGGCTTCCCAAAGTTGAGGTTGCAAGTTTAAACTTTGGGATCATGAACCCTAAGACAGCAATGGCCGACAATACCCCCCTCCCTGCCCTTAACCTCTGCTCTATTCGATCTTGTCCTCCTCTACATCTCCTCGCCCCCCTCCCCCACAAACACCGACAGTGTTTCTTTTCCCAGGTGAGACTTAAAGTCAACAAACTGTAGGAGAATGCTTTCCATCAAAATCCTACCATGGGGAGAAAAAAACAGGCGGAGAAACATACAGCTTTATTTTTCTTAAATGCAATGTTGCTGGAGAGAGAGAGAAATAATAATACCAGTAGGTCTATCCCTAACAATTAAAAAAAAGAAATGCAAACTTGCCTTTCCTCTGTTTTTGCTTTGAGTCGTTGTCAGGAGGGACTCACGGCGTGGGCTCTGCTCTGTTTACCTTGACAACGGCTGTTGCGATGCTGAGCTGTTCCCGTGGCGCTATCAATCAACCTGAAAGCTGTTCCAGGCTGACCCACTGTGCACCAATGTTCCCTTCATTCTGCTACAGTTGTTACACTGAACCGTGGTCATTTAACTCTCCGGTCCGCGTTTTCTAGCTACACCGAATGTGTGGCTTATGTATTTTAGCGGAAGAGAAATGAATTAAAGAAGCAGCCTCGTTTCAAGCAGTTATTGGGAGTTTGTACATTCGGTGAAATGTCAAGATTTTGGCACCAAGTCCCACTTGTTGTAACCCGCACTCCAAACCTAGTCAGGCCGCCCTTTTCAGAGGCGCCTTCTTTTCAATGAGGGACAACCAGGGACATCTTAACCTGTCAACTGGAGGGCTCTTAAGATGCAATGGCGGTGTTCCCGACCTCTGGACCGGAAAGCAAGGGTTCAAATCACACCTGGGGTTTCTTGTAGGGCAGTGGTAGTGTCCCGACCTTTGAGTCAGGAGGTCAGGGTTCAAGTCCCACCTAGTCCAAGAGGTACATAATGAATCACTGAGTAGGTTGATTAGGAAATAGCTTTCCAGTCTCACCCTACTCCAAAGATGTGTGATGACATCTTTTGAAGAGGTCAGTTAGAAAATATCTACCTTCTCAATTGGGAGTTCTCTTCGTGTCCAGACCAATCTTTATCCCTCAGTCAGCATCACCCAAAATAGGCTCTTCACACTTCACAGTCAGTGGCAAAGAGAGGCAATTGTTTACCTTGAAGGAAGCAGCCCTCAAAGATCTCTCAGTCCTTGCCATTTTCAGTAATCTTTGTGGATTGGATTTACCCTTAACTGGAACAAACTAGGAAGTAAGAAGTACTGATTACCTCTCACACTTTGATAATTTATAGACAGCCAAATAAATATTAAGACATTGAATTAAGTCAGAAATTGAAATATCATAAAATAGTTTAAAATATATTTTTGTTCCATTAAAAAGTATGGAATTTGTTTTGCAATAGAAAAAGTTTACGTTCCATGAATGGAATATGAGTCTATCAGTGCCAGCAAGGCTGTTACAGTAATAATTATGAACTTAGTAAATGATAAGAAAACAAAGTCACATCTCATTCAACAAGGCTTAACATTTTCAGGGTTTTTTTACAGTGAGATGAATGTCATAAGTGCATCAGGCCCTTAAGCAGTGTGAGGGAGACTTCATCTGTATGAGGAAGAGGCAGAGACAGGGGCCAAATCAGTATATTTAGGAATCTTGTTCAAAGTGGGAATTCAACCAGCAAATTGTTTTCAAGTTCAATTTTATATTAAAAAGTCAGATAGAACTTAGGACTCTTGGCCTTTAAATAGGTTAAAGGAACTAATTAAACAGGCCTGATGGTGACAGTTTTCTACCAATCATCTGAAATATCTTGCTATAAGGTGCTAATTACTCTACCAGGAACAAAGATAGAAAGTGACCAGGTAGGGTAATCGATGGAAGGATGTTCCCTGTGACTGGGAAGTCCTGAATGAGTGGTCACAGTCTAGGGATACAGGTTAGGCCATTTAGGACTGAGATGAGGAGCAATTATTTCAACCAGAGAGTGGTGAGCCTTTGGAATTCTCTGCCACAGAAAGTGGCTGAGGCCAAAACATTAAATGTTTTCAAGAAGGAGTTAGATGTAGTTCTGAGACTTGAAGGAATCAAAGGGTGTGAGGAGAAAGCAGGAACAGGATACTGAGTTGGATGATCGGCCATGAGCATATTGAATGGCAGAACAGTCTCAAAGGGCCGAATGGTCTAATTCTGTTCCTATTTTCTATCTATATGACTCATCTCAGATATTCACAAGAAAGGGATTTTTAAAGTACACGGTTAGTAAGGGCACACAGCCAGTGTGAGGGAGACTTCATCTAAGTGAGGTGGAAACACAGGCTAAGTGAGTATAGCTATGAATTTGGTTCAAAGAGGAAATTCAGTGCAGAGGAGGATAACAGAGCCTTAAATAAGGCTTACCGGAAGAAGTAATGTGTGCTGAGTAGGACTGTGGTGAAGACTGAGGAGAATTTTCCTTTCAACTCTCTCAGTAAATATTTGGTGAAAAATTGCTAATTAAACTGCTGAATATTAGGAAAGCGTATTGTTTTTAAAGAAGTAGCTCTACTTGGATTAACTGAGCAATATCAAAAATAAGGGAAAGTTATGATCAATTTAATAAAGTAATATAAGTAATCTAGAGCAGAATAATGTTAATGCAAGGGAAGCTATGTTTAGATATGGTAGTGCAGCTTGTTCAAGTTGAATGTGTGACCTGTAGGAATGTGTGAAGTTAGTGTCTTGAATGACCACACACAGGTAGTGCTGCCAGCTTATTCCTGCAGAAAGTTCAGCTCTGGGTTTCAGAGCTCGAGTGGAATAATGTGGCTCAGCCACAAAGCTGAGAGTTATGTGGATAGTACATTCAGAGGTATGGTCACACCACGGCTAATGAACCTGGAGGTAGAAAGGGAATGGGTGGCCCCCCGAGCAGTCCAAGAGAAACAGACAAGTAGTACAAGACTCACCAGTGTAATGTTCACAAATTGATTTTTCATTTTGGAAGCTGATGCCTCAAGGAGTGCATTCAGAGTTGTGTTTATGGAAACGTGAGAATCTCAGCTGTACAAGAGGGAAGGAAGAAGGAAGGGGGATTGAGAGTCATGGGGGAATCTTTAGTTTCTGTGGCTGTAG